TGGGAGTTGAAGTCCACTCATCTTAAACCTGCCAAGGTTGAGAAACATTGCTCTAGACAAAGGTGATTGGCAAGAAACCAGTTATACTGATGTACCTGAAACATGGAGACCAAATCAAATAATCTTAGCCAAAGTCTAAGGCTCTCTGTTGTTGGAATCCTTTGGATCTTAACGGATTAACATTTATACATGGATTAATGCATAATATCCTTGCACTTCCTCTTCAAAATGCAAAATCCGAGTATTAACTAACCTTTCGGGCTTCCCCTACCTTTTACTAGCATACGATATAAAGAACATTTTTTGTAATTAGGAGGCGAACGGGATGTATTTCTACTGCCCCTGTACATTGACATGACTGCACCTTTTTCATCTGACTTTGAGAGGCTTCGTTATGCCTTCCCCAGACAAAGCCAAACACTTACGCTGCTGCTTCGGAAGAAGAAAGGAATCAGTGGCGTTTGGGACTTGATGGCTGTAAGAAGGGCAGAGAAAATGGAGAGGTTTTGTGGATTGCTCCACCGAAGGATCCTGGAGCTCCCCTGGACTACTACACCTTTAATTAGACATTTCCTGTCCAGTGCTTGATATGGCACTAACAGACCCTTCCCCAAACTGGCACCTCCTCAGATGCGTTAGCAGAGAAGTCCCAGAATTCAACCCCAAGCTGTTTTGGATGGGGATTTTAGGAGTTAAAGATTCAAGAATTTGAAGTGTGGCCGGGGGGGGGCAGGGGGAACAACTGAAAGACTAAGTTGGCCTAAGACTAAGTCAGACACTTCCTGTTCTATTACAGTAGGGCTCTTCATGGAGTTGTGATTAGAACTAAATGAAAATAAAACAGCAATCCCTCCTAGGACAGGAAGCTTTTAATTAAAGAGCAATTTCAAAATGGCAGCTTCTCGTTTTTTTGTCCTCCTCTGTAACGGCTCAGCGTTTACCCCACATTGAGGAAAATACCCCAGGATGGAGAGAAAGGGTTGCTTCTTTTTTTTCTTTTAAAATTAATTTAGGAAACGAGAATATGCATCTTGGTTTACTAAGCTGCTCAAAGTCTTCAGGAAGTCAATCCCATTGAACCGAGCGAACGCATTTCAAACGGCATTCTCCTTGGCAGATGTTTATGGAAGCACCATTTTAGTTTTCTGCTGACTGCAGAAAAATAATGACTTGCCTTGGCCGATGAAAGTAGCTGTTTTATAATGAAGAAAACCTTTCGAAATTTGTGTCCACAAGTTTGGGGTCTCTAAATACTAGATCCATCAAGCTATGCAGGGTTGGGCCTAGTTAGTGTTTGGATGGGGGACCACAAGGAAATCCCTTGGAATTTGGATGGGGGACCACAAGGAAATCTCTTGGGAGCTACTTTCCATATAAACTCCATGGGTTGTCCATGAAATCACCAGGGGTGCTCAGGTGTGACGATACAGATGATGCCTTTAATGTGGCAAAATGTCTGGCCCCAGGAGGGGCCACTGCCTTTCAGTCCACATCCCTGTCCTCAATGGAGAAATGCACTCTGGAGATGCTCAGAGGCCGTCTTGCCTCCTAGGGCACCCTCAGGGATATCAAAGGAAGCCTGAAAGTCTCCTCCACAGCCTCGTAGACAAGTCTAAGAGTACGTGAGCCAGGGAGAGTCCTTCCAAGGGCTTGGTCAACTTTGGGGCTCACTCGGGGGGGCACCCAAGAGAGGGGCACCCAGACTGGCATCTTACCTTCCAGAGACCGGGCCTTCAACTCTCCCTTCATCTTCTCCAGCTCCAGCCGCAAAGCCCGGTTCTGCTTCTCCGCCTCCTGCAACTGTCTTTGGGCGAATCCCCGAGAGCAGGAAGAGAGGGGAGCAGCGTTATCTAGGGGCAAGCGCCGCGGGGACTCCCACTCCCATTATCCCTTGCCTTTGGCCATGCTGCTAGGCCCCGGGACGCCCTTCCCGGATTTGGAAAAGTTTTCCTTCTCCCCCTCCTTCCCCCACAAAAGGGGACCATCACGCAGGCGGCACCATGTGGGGCCACGGTGGGTGTGGACACGGGGCCACTCAGGGTGGCTGAACCACCACGCCCAGCAGGGCAAGCTAGGGTGGGGGCTTGGCTCTGCAGATCAGCACCCGTCCCCCTCCCCTGCCTTCAGGAGGGATCTGCTGCCCTAAAGAATGAAAGAGACAAAGTAAAGCCCTACTCACTCTGGATCGATGCCTCTCCCCGTACATCAAAAATGTATTTCAACTGTTCATTATGTATTTTACACTTCTGGGTTTAAAGCTGGTTCTGCATTTTAAGCACCCTCCACCCAAGGAGGCCGAGGGGGCCCAAGTCGTAAGCTTAACCGATAAACTCACAAGCAAACAAGCCCTTTCATTTGCTTCATTAGTTACGTATTTCAATCAGTGTTTCTCAACCTCAGCCACTTTAAGATGTGTGGACTTCAACTCCCAGAATTCCCCAGCCAGCATGGCTGGC